CCCCCCCCCCTTAGTGATGCCACTGACCTTGAATGAGTCTAGGCTTTTCATGCACCAAAGGCAGCCCAAGACAAAGGTGAGGATGGAAGGAGGAGGTGTTTTTGGACACTATTAAAGGTAGCAAAAGAAGAGATGGAGAAGCTGGTCTCCTTCCTACCGCACCTTGGTTTCTCAGGAGAGAAAAGGGAAAGGAGGGTCAGGAGAAGGTCTGTGCAGCCCCAATGGATGTTGAGCAAAGGAGTTGGAGGATGCTGTGCTGGCAAGAGTCAGGAATAAATATGGACTGATTGACAGGTTGGCTGCATTTCTATGCTGCCTTGGTGTGGGACCAAAGGCAGCTCACAAACAATGAAACAAAATGAGTTAAAAACAACAATAAAAACCCAATTAAAGGATCAGTATTTTTTTTTTTGAACTCAGGACAATATAAAAGCAATTGGAAGAATGTACCAAAGCTAAAACTAGAGTACCATCGCCAGCCCCATAATAAGGCTCCTTGCAAGCAATTTTGGATGTTTTGGATCTGCGCTCCCAGAAGTACAAGATGGCTTGGCCAAGGATCACAAATGCTGGGAGTTGAAGTCCCAAAAACCTGGTGGACCAAAGGTTGAGGTCCATTGGTCTTGGTGGCCTCAGGAACCCACAGGGCTGCTGTCCAAAGTGCTGAAATGGGAAAACCAACTTGTCCAAACTCTGCTATAGTGGCAGGAAACTATGGTCACTACCCAACATGCTGAAATCATCTAGATGGCATACAGATAGTTTCTGGGCTAGTTTGTGTATGGTGCCATCACCTAACGTTGGGAGATGCGCAATGTACAGACTGACCCCAACCATCACATAGCAGCCAAATACACCATTTCAGCTGAGATGAACAGAAGGAGGGTGGCACATAGAGAGCCCTCCTCTCTTCCCCCTCTCCCTGTTCCACCAGCCAGCTGAAGCTGAGCCAAATTTGTATCCACAATCTAATAAATCAGTGAAATAAATGTGATTGATGTACTAGATCAAATAAGCCAATAACACTTGCATAATTGCAGTGAAATTTGCATCAATTATTTTGCTGGAGGTGAATTTGACTTTAAAAAGTTAGGAAATGTGGCTTTGGAGGGGGAGGTAAAGCAGCAGTACCTAGCCTTTATTTAATTTTGGAAGATGGTTAACCCCCCCCCACCACCACCACCACTATCACCATTAACTTCACTCCATCTAACACACCTTCTTTCCCATTCCCATTCTGCATAATCTCTACTGTTTGGCTACTTTCTAGCTACTCTTTTTCGCTTGAAAGTGAGAAGCCTGACTATAGAGAAGACAATCTCTATAATGAAGTGCGGATAATCTTATTAGGAAATGAATTCTCTCTAACCCCCCCCCTTCCTTTGCCTGGTGGAGAAGGGGAATGCAAAGGCAAAAGATTGCACACCCAGGCAGAGTTTTTGTAATATTAATTTTCAGCAAAAGGAGCTGGAGGGAGATTGGGTGCCAGGAAAGAGCTGAACTGCTTTGATCCGACATGAATCGCTCTCACAATTGTTTCACCCAGGAGCTCCCAGCCAAGCCGTCTCACCTCAATTCAGGGTCAAAGAAAGAGTCTAGCCAAACAGACAGAGGAATCAGGTTGAAGCTCAGGTGGGTGGGTTAGCAGCTGGGCCAGAACAGGTCCAGCACTTTTCCTCCAGCACTGGAAAAACAACACAAGAAGGGTCTGTTGCGTAGACGTGACTCCTGTGGCCTGCCAAATCCCACGTACGTGCCGTTTCAGCCCCAGATGTTTCCGATGCCTGAGGCAGAACATCAAAATGGCAGTCTGACCTCCGCCTTCCTCATGCAGCAAACTTAGAAAATGCCACTTGAACAGAAGTGACAATTCGCTGGCCTTTAATGGTGCCCAAAACATGCTGCCCAAAGAGGGTGACCTGTTGGTGACGAATGTCTGGGTTTGTGGAGAGTTGTCATAACTCAGGAAACTGCCCCAGGTTTCTGTCAGGACTCAGGACTTTGCAGTTTGAATAGAGCAGGGAGGTAAATAATAGAATCCTAGATTGGGGAAAGACCATAAGGGCCATCTATTCCAACTCCCTGCCATGCAGGAATACACAGCTTGAGCACTCCTGAAAGATGGGGATATAATTTAAAGATTTCTTCTTCTTCTTCTTCAGATTTTTGCAGAGGAGCTTTTCCATTACCATCCTCTGAGGCAGAGAGAGTGTGACTTGCCCAAAGTCACCCAGTAGGTTTCATGGCTCAGTGGGGATTTGAACACTGGTCTCCAGAGTCATAACCCAACCCTCAACTATGACATGCCCAATGTAGAATAACAGTGATTCTTCCTAATATTTAGGCTGAATCTCTTTTCTTGCTATTTGAATCCATTGGTTCACATACTAGTCTCTGGAGCAGGAGAAAACAAGCTCAGTCCAACTTTTGCATGGCACCCCTTTGGATATCCTACCATGTCTCAATTTTCTCTTTTCTGATCTAAACAGTTCCCTTCATCATTCTGCATTGGGTTTAGTTTTGGGATCTTTTACCATCTTGGTCGCTCTCTTCTGAAAATATTCCAGCTTGTCAATCTCTCCTTGAACTGTGGCTTCCACAGTCTTTCAGATGAGGTTTGAGCAAAGCAGAAGAGAATGGCATGTTGCTTCCCTTGATTTGGACATGAGTTTCCTGTTGATGCAGCTTGAATTGCATTAGTTTATGGGGTTTTTTGGGGGGGGGGGAAGAATTAGCACAATACTAATTCTGAATCCTCAAGGATCCTGCTTCCAGCTCAAGGTGGAGACACCAAATGTTTCTTTCCTTCTCATCCTGGTTTCCTCAATGTGTGCAAATGATATTTTTAGTAAAATGCCTCTCTTGGTGCAAAACCCCTGTCTGTTTTCCCTCTGTGAAGCAAAACACACAAAGACAGCAGGCAAAACAGAACAGGCTGGTTGATCACAAAGACAGAAAGGACCCATGCCGTGCATCTCCCTTTACTACAAAGCAACAGTTATCACATTTTCCAATACAGAACCTTTTCACAGACTGTGCAAAAGAAAAAAAAATCAAATGCAGATATGTTCTTGGAGAAGAAAATTGGGAGCTATCATCTCGTCTCATGGTGGTTTGCATTGAGAAAGGAATCCAAAGTCCTGAACCTATTTAGGAATGGGGTTCAGTAACTTGGGGTGGATCCACACTGCAGAAATAAAAGCAGCTTGACACCACTTTAACTGCCATGGCCCAATTCTATGGAATTCTGGGATTGCTAGGTTTATGGGATACTTTGCCCTCCTGGTCAGAGAGCTCTGGTGCATCGTTGTTGTTGCTGTTGTGTGCTTCTAAGCCATTTTTGACATAAGGAGACCTTAAGGTGAACCTATCATAGGGTTTTCTTGGCATGATTTCTTCAGAGGGAGTTTGCCATTGCCATCCTCTGAGGCTGAGAGAGTATGACTTGCCCAAGGTCACTCAATGTGTTTTTATGCTTGAGCGGGCAATCGAACCCTGATTTCCAGAGTCATAGTCTAACATTCAAACCACTACACTGCACTGGCTCTGGTGCCTCGCCAAACTACAAATCCCAGGATTCCATAGCATTGAGCTGTGGAGGTTAACGCTGCTTTATTTCTGCAGTATGGCAGCTGCCTTGTGAAGCTCCTATAAAACCTGGATTAAAACCTTGGCCAGCTTCCTGCTGTTGACTTATACAGGCACAAGTGCAATTTATAGGTGTGTGGGTCCCAATTTTAGTGGAGCCTGGAAGGCTATTCCCTTGCTCTTGGGCTCCATCCAAAAGCCTCCCACTGCCTAGACATTGTCCAGCCACAGGTGAGGATCCAGCTGTTAGGAGCCCTGGTGGCACAGGTGTTAAATACCAGCACTGTAGCCACAAAGTTGTGAGTTGGACCACACAGGGGCTCCAGGTTGGCTCAGCCATCCATCCTTTTGTAGGTCTGTAATGTGGGTATCCAGCTTGTTGGAGGCAATTCGCTAACACATTGTAAACTGCTTAGAGAGTGCTTGGTACTATAAAGTGGTATAGAAACGTAAGTGCTATTACTATTGCTACTACTGTTCTCACTTAGCAGTGGAGAAGACAAGAAGGGCAATATGATTTGCACTATGAAGATCCAGCTGGTCTGGGCTCCTGGGGGAAAGAAAAGGTGGATCCACTCCATTTGAAAGTGCGCCTTCATTTCTTCTCCCTACCTGACCTGAGGCCAGCACTTTCTCCATGGTCCAAATTGCCTCTTCTCTCCTTTCCTTCCTTGCCAGTAAATGATTCAACAGCCTCCCCACGCAGCCTTCAAAGCTTATGGGTGGTGGGAGGATGAAGAATTATGCCCCAATATTGGATCTTGGCCCTAAAGCGGTTTTGCCACCACTTTGGCATGGAAACCACCAGCAACCACTGGTGTACTCCAAGAACATGGTAATGCATTTTGGGGAAGGACGCAATGCTGTTTTACCCATTCAAATTGTGTGCCTTAACTCTCCCCTGCTCAGCAGTCTGCCTTTTGAAGGGAAGATATATTACAAAAGCTACCACCAGCCTCCAGCTCTATCTCCTCTCCAGGAAACAGACCTTGTAAACGGATGATCAAGGGATGGGGAATATGAAGCTAAACATATATTTGGTTATGAGTTGTCAAGAGGACTCTCACAGGCCTCTTTCCAGCTCTGTAATTCTTTCAGGTTTCAGTGAGTCAGTTAGCAAACATCGGGGAGAGAATGGATTTGCATGATCAGGATGGGTGCCTTGAGGCAACACCTTTCCAAGACCCAACAATTGCTTGAAGGCTGGTAACTGGGGAGGCAAGTCTTCACTTTTCTCCCCATTCTTGCACATGAGAAGAGACCATTTCCAAAGTTTTCTTCTTACTGGGCAAGATGGCAAGCAGTACTGAGCATGTTTCAATGGCTTTTCGCATTTCAGATCCCACCCCCACAAAAATTCATTTGCATAACACATTTGTGTGAAAAGCCAAGGTTTTTGCACAGGAAAAAAAAAAGGATCTTTGGAGAAAAATAGACCCTGTATGGTATTTTTTGCCCCAAATACTAAGGATCCTGAATGGGACACACAGCTATGATGTTGCAGCTATGCTTCCAATCCTAAGCCCTAAAACTCACCTTAAAAGTCAGGCAATGGTACTGATTGAAGGAGTTTAGCATTGCTGGTAAGCAGAGCACTGAAGGATGAGATCTCAAGTCCCTCTTGCACCTGTTCAGAGGAAGAAGAGGTATCCAGATACAAACAGTCCCAGGTCAGAGGCCAAACATTAGAGTCCAAGTAGAAATAGCCTGGTAGTAGAGTCAAAGAATAGTCCAGCAGCCCAGGCAGCAATTGGGGCTGAGAAGTTTCCATGAAGAATTGTATCTTTTGAGCCACTTCCCCCAATTCCCTACTCCAGCCTACTCCCCCAATTCCCTACTCCAGGATCGCCAGCCATTCAAGGAAAGTGAAGATCACACTCACACCCAGACCATCTGTGCAACTTCCCCTGCGGTGCCAGGCGTGTGGTGCCTTCTAGGACTGGGTGCTGTCGTGCACGGCAACTCTTGGCATCAACGTCAAGCTGTTCTGTGTATGTGTGTGTTTTCACACTCAGGTATGCATAGATAGGTGAGGACATGGGACACCAGATGAAACAGGGACAGCCAGCTGGAGCCATGCCACCTGCCAGGCATCTTAATACCTGCGAGACTTGCTGTGAAACAACTGGGAAATAGAGGCCACTCTCAGCCTGGATGCGCAGACGCTGAAGCTGCCATACTTCTTTTTCTGCACATTTTTTAAAAAAAACATTATTGGATTTTTTAAAAAAATAAAGTTTGAGAGAGAGAGGGGGGGGGGAAGAGAGAAGGAAAAATGGGGAAGGAGGAATATCATAGGATAGTACACTTGGGCTTCTGTATCCCGGATTCTTTATCCTTGGATTCAACTATCTATGGCTTGAAAATATTCCCCCTCCAAAAGAATTCCAAAAAGAAAACTTTGTTTTTGCTATTTTATATAAGGAACACCATTTTATTATGCCATATTGTATATGATGGGATCTGAGCACCTGTGGATTTGGGTATCTGCGAGGGGTCCTGGAACCAAACCCCAGCGGATATCAAGCGCCCAGCGTAGCCGCTGCAGAATCGATGGCAACCTAATAAATCAACACATGTAAATTCTAGAGATTCAGTGGGTGCACTTTAAGTGGGGCAAACAAGTCAGTGCTTCTCTTAAAAGGGGGCAGAGGGACTGATGTTAGCCAGACTCTAAGTGGAGATCAGGGAGGAGGAAGAATCCATTATGATCCATTACAAAACCTCTTCAGAAGGGTCAGGCACTGGGCAGAGCATAGGGAGACATCCCAAGTTTTTATGAGCTGCTTTGCCTTCAAAAATAGAAAGGGAGGAAAAATTAGGCATGTTGCCATGGTGATCTTTAGAATGGGCTCCATTCATGAATTTTTTGGTGCTACTCAAGCACGCTCATTGAGCCAACAAGGGATTTTTTTTTTTCCTGAGAGTGATCTAATTCTTCACCAGTTTCCCTCTCAAAGGAAGCAACAAGTAGTCTTAGCAATTTTCTTTTGCTGCAAGAATGAATTGTTTGTATTTTGAAGCTTATTCCGTGTGAGCAATCACATATGGTTGTTCTGTGCTGAAAAGAGCAGTTTCTGTGCAAAAACTTCCAGTATTTCTGTGTGGAAAAAGGCTGCAGTTTCCTTGCAGAAGAAGTCTGCATAGTCTGCACAGAAAATAATATTTTGGTGTGGAATTTTATTTTCTTCCTAGAAAATTATGTTTTGTGCAGAAAATTCTACTTTCTGTCCTAAATAATCACGTGAAAACTCTGCATAGAATAAATTCCAAACTCATAACTCCAGTCTCATCTATCCAAGATATTTCTCACCAGGGTTTCCCAATACTTCTTAGATTCTGGACCTGAATTAATCGTATCCCTATACTTTCCAACTGTTTGATTTGGCAGGAACAGCCCCAGTTAATCCACTGTCAACTTAATTTTTCGTCTGTTTCTAAAATGTTTTCCCACTTTCTCCCTTTGTCCTCAGATTACGTCAGTTGCTGCAAACTGAATTCAAAGTTCAAAAGTCATTTGCACTGAAGTGCTTTGATTTTGAGTTCCTGCATGGCAGGGGTTTGGACTGGATGGCCCTTGTGGTCTCTTCCAACTCTATGGTTCTATGATTCTATGAACTCAATGGAAAGAACAGGAGGAGAGTGAGTGTAATCCTTGCCCTTCCCAGTCGGCTCAGGCAAAAGCCTCTCCTAGCTTGTGTGTTCTTCCTTATTCATAACATTTTCCCACCTTGTCCACATACGGATGTTGCTTGGCCACATGTTTCATCTGTGAAATGTTGGGATAGAGGACCTCCCACAGATGTGTCTTTAACGCCTGCCACACAGCTGGTAGTAACTGACACTAATGCATCTTGGCAGGGATGCAGGGATGGATGGACCACTGCCGCATCCCATTCTGTCAGGAGATGTCAAAGAGTATGAAGTTGTTGTAGTCCATTCTCTTCTGCTGAGTGCCCCCCACATCCTTTCCAGCATATCCCTTTCATAATAAGGCCAGGAACATCCAGTCCCAGAAGCATCCTGTGCTTTTTCTACAAATAAACATCCCAACCATTTTGCTTGGATCCTTCAGAGCTGGTATGGTCCAAGGCCAACCACTTCGCCCATGGCTTCAGTTCTTTCTAACCTCTGCCATATCTGATCAAGCCAAGGCTTTTGCTCAATCCACTTTGACATCCCCTGCCAAAATGGGATGCGGCAGTGGTCCATCCATCCCTGCATCCCTGCCAAGATGCATTAATGCCAGTCACTACCAGCTGTGTGGCAGGCATTAAAGACACATCTGTGGGAGGTCCTCGATCTCAGTGTGCTGAAAAGTTTCCAAATAGTTCCTGCAAGGCAGAATAAAGCTGAAAACAATTTTGATATGAAAATATGGATTTGAATCCTCTTGGTTAGTCCCAGCTAGAATAGATCCATTGACTGGACTGTTGAATGATGAATCAACAAGTGGGTAAATTCAGTTCATTCAATGGGTTTACTTCGGTCAGGACTAACAATAGGATTATTCATCCAAGGGTAACTGTGTTGGCCATGTAGAAAAGTACAATAACATCCCAAATCCACAAAATAGTGATGCCTCTATTGGGCCAACCAAATGCAAAGATACATGTTGCAAGCCCCCCCCCCCCCGTATGATTTTTAAAAATATTTTATTGAAAGATTTTATTCAACACACAAAACAAAACAAAGACAAAATATACTCATACAATCACACTACATACATCCTATCTCACTAACCCACTATTTCCCTAACCCTTGTATGATTTTTAACATCTTTACCTGATGAAGAAGCCAGCAAAGCCTTGAAAGCTTACAAGGTGTGTGTGTGTTGCATTTGGCTACCATTTGGTATCACTGTTTTGTGAATAGGATTATTGTTAGAGTATTTTTTTTTCCTGATGTCTTTTTTCTAATTTGAAAAGGATGTCCTGATCATGCCCCCCTACCCATT